GCTAGTAAGTAATAGTCCTTTCAGACCATTGTACCGAATGGTTGTACGTTTTGTGCTGCGCAAAGATTCGATCAGTTTAATTTTTGGCCATTACAAGAAGTGGGTTATTGATGTAGACAAATGCTCATGTACCCTTTACAGCTCATTTTATGTATGTTATTACCAAAGAAGAAAAAAGCCAGTATGTCACTGAATAGTGTCTGACAGTGAAGTCTAGCAAGTAAACAGGTTTCCTTGCATGGCAGTCATGTTGGGTCTTGTGACAGGGTTGGTGTAGGGTGCTGTGTAGAGTGCTACCATGTTGTTTTGGAGTTTGTACTGCATCGCCAATCTGTCATTTTCTCTGCGCTCTCCGAGTGTTGCATGCAGATATATTTTTGGTGTTATCTTTGTGTTCATTTGGCAATTCCATTTGACGAAATGGTAAATCGTCCTTCCTTCCGAATATACGTGTGGTACGCCCGCCGCTCCCCCCCCCCCCCCCCCCCCCCCCCACTCAGGGGTCGGAATGACCGCATGCGTGTTGCCAAAATGTCCGGTAAAGGGGTACTTTTCGTGCGACAAAGTCCGGCCCGAGAATTGTAAAAAAAGGGGTGTATTTGACTTTTCACCCGGAGATTTCTTTAAAAAGGGAGTGTTTTTTTTTCTTCTCATCTCTTTGGACTTCTAAGAAATTATTCCGAATTTAGGGGGTACATTGAGCATTTTTCCTGATTTAGGGGGGTCTCCAAAGCAGGAAAAGCCCGCAAAAAGCCCGCGAAAGGGGGTTCGAAAATGTTGGCAGTCTGCGTACCCTAAGTAACACTGAGTGGGGGGGGGGGGGGGCGGGGTGGTACGTAGCCTACCTGTACATTTATTCAGCCTTGCTTTCATCAATAATTTTGTATGATCGCCGTTATTGTATAGACCATTTTAATTTTAATAATGTAATCAAATTTAATGCATACTTCTAAAGTGCCTCGTTGCAAGTTATGTCATTCACCTATTGTGAAAAATCGAAATTCAATAGTCAGGATGCAAATTGCATATCCTTTTTTATTGCTTATTGTTAATAGGTATATAAGGAAAAGCCAGTATTTATCCTACCTCAAAATAAATGTATACAATTTGCATTCCGAATAATGAAATACAATTACCTATAACAGGTGAAAGTAACAATTTGTAACGAGGCACTTAACAAAGACGTATACAATAAATTGCTTGCATTACGAAATTGCTTATTCTGTATAAATGTTCACAAAATGCGCTAATAAAAGTACACATTGAAGCCAACGACACCCCGGCGATCAGTCATGATTATAATATAACAAGTGGTCGGAAATGTGCACGTTCTTGTGGTGCGTTGTTGTGGATAATTGTATTTTCCGTAGTTTTCTACAAGTCCATTAGTCTATTCACTACACGGTCACAATAACTCGTAAACTCTTTCTCCGAAGTCATTCTTCACACACTTCACTGAGTTACAAAGGGAGCAAAAGGAACTCACAAGATGCATTTTGTTAGACACGAGATATTCTTATCTCACGTGGGGAGCTTATTTTTTGTCGTGCATTGAATCACGGTTGAGCTATCATGAGAAATGAAGAATGAACCAGGGATGCCAGTTTTCAGGCAATAGCCTGAATTCAGGCCCTGGCAAGTTATTTTCAGACCATAGTTTAGGCTTTTTTGTGTACAAATAGCTCATTCTAGGTGATTTTCAGGCCCTCTGATCAATTCTACTTGGCATCCCTGATGAACGTTTTGAGAGTATTATCTCTATCTCTCTCTCTCTCTCTCTCTCTACCTCCCCCTCTCTCCCTATCTCTCCCCTCTTCTCTCTTTCTTTCTCTCTCCCCCCTCTCTCTCTCTCCCCCTGTCTCTCTCCCTCAAAAAAGGTGGATTAAACTTCACCATACAAGTTAACTTCCTCAATACGTTGATTCTTCGTAAGTACAATCCTTCTTATCGTCACGTTCGTTGTCTTGACTTATAGACTTGTTCACCGTTATTTTGCGTAATCTTAAGCTTCTACGATCCCATAATAAGCCGATTTTCTTGACGGGTTTAACTTGCAAAGATCACCCGTAAAGCTCTTTAATATTGAATCGTGTTATGCAGATCGTATTAAAATAGTTCTTAGTACGCAAACTCTGGTATCTTCCCTGCATGGGCCCTGACCAACTTCGATCGTAAAAACCAGGGGGGGGGGGGGGGGGGGCGTTTCACAAAACTTGTCATCGGTGACAAATGACAGTTTCTGTTATAAGTTACTGAAATCCTTGCTTCTGATTGGTTATCAGCAGATTTGTCACTGATTTGTGTCATTTGTCATTGAAAAAAGGCTTTGTGAAACGGGTCTCAGATGTATCTCCAACCCTGCTTCAATCAATAAGTGTATCTTACCATGCATTGTGTCTACCTGTAACATGAAATTAATCGTAAATTACTATTGCTTGTAAAGTTACGATTGATTGAAGAGGATTGAAGGATGATTAAGGAGATAAAACTTTTTTAATCGTAACTTTTCATGTTAACTTGGTTAAGTGCCCTATTCTATATCATGAGGCATGACTGAAATCCGTTTTTACAACTTTTTTGTGTTCAGTCTTTTTACATTGTATCTGTATAATGCAAACTTTCTTCGTCATTATATATATATATATATATAACGAGACATAAAAACATTTTGTTGTAATTGCTTCTATGCAATACACCGTTATGTCCCTTCTTCAAATTTCTCTAATGTCTTTTTGATGTTTCCATTTCGTCAATTCAAAAACTTTGATAAGGGAGCTCTTATTGTGGATGTATTTTGAAGGGTCCAATTCAGCTCGAATTTTCCTGTTTTCAATCAATTTGTCTTCATTTCAGCGAGGAAGTCTTGATTAAAATGTCACACACAATCTCTTCGCTCGACTCTATTATAAGAATAGAAATACCTTCGTGCGGTCCATTAGTTTTTATTTCACTTCAATACATTTCTGAATGATAGAATATCCAGTGCAAATTGATATTAACAAAAAACTCTTCCTGTCCATACATTTGCGCTATCAAATATATGAACGCCTTGGAAATAAGTGGTTGCATTTAGCATCAACAGAAAACTCTCTATTCTTGGTTCTCTGCATGCCATTTTGCATCGCCGTTGCTCTCCCAACAGATAAATTGAACTGCCACGTTTCCATGGAAACATGCACCTGTACGCTTCCCCTCTCTGTTTTTGTATTCTTATATCTTCATTATTTAGCATGTATATTCATCGAATCCTCTTCTGTTGGCATTTCTGCGGTATACCATCATGTTAAGGCAGAGAGTAACGGAAAGGTTGCCGTCGTTCATGAGAAGAGCAAGAGGAAACACACGATGATCAAAGTGCATTCAGAAGAAACGGGAGCGCTAGAATTACCTAAAGGGTAGTAGTATGTATACTGATATCGTATATTGTCATAAGCTTGATGACGGAGTATGTATGATGATTATGATGATGATGATGATGACGACGATGAATATTAAGAGGATAATGAGAAAGGCCTTCTGCGACGATTGATCGACTAAAACTAGTAATTGGGATACTAACTACTACTACTACTACTACTACTACTACTACTACTACTATGCTACTAGGACGATGACGACGATGACGATGATGACAAAGACTATACAACAATCATCATGACTATACTATCAGTATTACTACTACTATTACTACTTCTAATATTACTACTACAACTTCTACTACTGCTGCTGCTCCTACTATTATACATATATATATATATTTATTTTTATAAGCGATATATCTATAATCCAACCATTATTTCTATAGCCCTAAACTTCCACCACACATCAGAATGTCGTTTTGAATGAATATAGTAACCACATGAAGAATATTACCTGTCAGGGATGATAACATCCAATGGAAATGATGAAAATGTGATGAGACGTGGTTCATTCAAACTGGAAAAGCCGGAACTGTATTGATATGATGATTCGACTCTGATACTACAAATCGTATCAAAATTGAAATTTTATATGCGCCCACGTCTATTCGCTTAAAAATCATATTCATCATGTTTACAAGGTAGAATATGCATTTCTCTCCTTATATAGAAGTAAGCAATGGCTCTATTGTTGTGATTAATGTACAGATCTTTCTCGTTGGTTCACGATTGCTTTTTGAAATGATATTGGTTGTTTGACATAATTAGTTGTGCGAAAGAAGAAAGAAGACAACTATGTTCTTAGAATTACTAAGATGAAAACAGTATTTTATGCAGAAACGTGGATATTTGATACTATATTTGTGGAAAATATAATAATTTTGTTTAAAAAAAAATGTATTAAAGGCGAATACATTAACAAATCGCACGACCCGTTGAATTATGTGGTCAAGTTAAACATCTTGAACAATCCGAAAATAGTCATATTTTAATAAGGTATGAATAGGTGCTCCAATGGAAATTTAATGAAATACATTTGATCCTGCTCTATTCTTCAGAGAGATAGATAGAGGGGTGGGAGGGGCAATACATTATATTGGGGAGAGGCGAGTATGAAGGTTTAGAGGAAATGGAAAAGGAAAGAGAGGGATAAGGCAGGGTGAAAGAGATAAACTAAAAAGACGGACAGACCAAAGGAAGGAGAGAGAGGGGAAAGAGAGAGAGAGAAAGAAAGAGAGAGAGAGAGAGAGAGAGAGAGAGAGAGAGGGGGGAGGGGAGAGAGGGGGGTGTGTGGACATACAGTAACAAGTAGGATGCTCGGACTAACATGGGGGGGGGGGGGCAGCGAGGTCGATTTAAGGAAAGCAACATAAAAGTGCATTAAGAGAGAGAGAGATAGAGAGTGAGCCAGAGAAAGAGAGAAAGAGAGAGAGAAAGCAAAACAAAAGAGAGAGAGAGAGAGAGAGAGAGTGAGCCAGAGAAAGAGAGAAAGAGAGAGAGAGAGAGAGAAAGCAAAACAAGAGAGAGAGAGAGAGAGAGATAGAGACAACACGGAGGACAGTGGTAGTACAAACTGAATATACATGCCTTTAGTAGGAGCAAAATGTTGAAGGCAATAATAGTCAGAGAGCTAGTATAACTAGGCAGACAGCCGCAGAGCAGAATTGGCGGGAATCTGTCGAGCAGTGATAATTGCAGAGTGACGCACATCTGCTAATATCCAAGCAGTCATTTCAAGACCTGTTCGACCTCAGAGAAAGATCTCTCTCCTCCAAGGCACTCGCTTTCCCGCTCTCCATCCACAGCGGGGCTCCTTTATACTGCTCTCCCTGCATCTAGAGGCAGACAGACAGGCGGGAAGTCACACTGAGTATGCTTTCTATCAGGACTCAAGGAATAATCATTTTCATAATACGCTATTTCTCTTGACAATAGCTGATGATCAGCTTTGCGATTTTCTTAAAAGTGACATTTTAAAAACAACACCATTGATCTCTTGCTGCAACCATCTGAAAAGAATCGATTCAGTGTATCGATAATCTTACAGAGCTGTATTGTGGTGACGACGTTCTATGAAAATGGTATTTTCTGAAATACATGTTATATGATTGGATTATATCAATTTCACTTGTGGTGAAAGTGAGTATACTATTATTGTATTTCAATTTTAATAGCTATCTTCCAAACATCTGATCATAGCATCCCTTTTTTACTATTAAGTCTGACTTCTTCTGTTGGATTTTGGCATTATAAGCAATGTGAAAAATAATTCGATCTAAACATTTTCACAAAATATTTTTTTTTTCTTTCATTAGGCAGTTGAAAAATGCGTAAGCGTACTTCTCATATTAAGTCTCAATAATAATAATGATAATAATACTTATAATATTATTATTTATTTAAAAAATGATAACAACAATAATAATAATATTAAGAAGAAAAAACAATAATAATTATATGCGTTTCTTGTACAGTGCATAATTGCCCATTTTTAACAGGTGTTGCAAGGTCATGAGTTTATATGACAATTCTTTTATAGTTGTAATGCCGATGAAACAAATCCGGAGTAAACAACTGGCAATGTAAAAATTGACAATGGTTTGAGAACCTTGTCAATAATGTATTCGTGAAGATTTTTGAAAGCACAATTTCTTTTGTTGATATACATGTATCACTGACAAATTCATGGTTTACTTTGCAATTATCTTATTTATCCTTGTACGCGGCAGCATGTTGTCACTGCAGCAAAGCCCAAATTACTGAAGCATCATTTCACTCTACTACGATTTTTTTTTTACTTGCATATTGATTCCAATTTTATTCGTACTCGTTCATTTTATTTTAATATGCCATGAACCTTTTACCCCAAATATCAACCTAATACTTTTTTTCTTTTTTTTTCATTAACAAAATATCCCCGACGTAATTTTATTACTATCTTGAATGAAAATAAACCAATTTTTTGTTACCCGTTCATTTTTTTGTGAAAAAATGGATATATGGCAGATTCATCACTTTGTGAAAAACTCACAGTTGTGCATAACATTTCACATACTAACAACAATGCAGAATGCCACAGTAAGATTTTCACGATTGTAGTAAATAAGGATATAAAAGAAAAAGACATCGTTCCCAATTTCTATTTTCATAATGCAGCTTTAACAGTATTATTGTAAGGCAAGAGTGAGGAGCTTAAATTGTCAAAACGGAAGATTTTTCCTCAATACGAGGTCGATTTTTGTTCTTTCATTTGTGTCAAAGAACTGGAGTACTTAAATAAAATTTCCTTTCAGGTCGAATTAAGTTCTTTCTCGAATTTGTAGTGCACGAATCGATTGGAAATAGTAGAAATACAGAGGGAGAGAGAGAGAGAGAGAGAGAGAGAGAGAGAGGTAGCGGGTAGAGCAAACGTGAGAAATAGTGAGAGCGAGAGAGAGAGAGAGAGAGAGAGAGAGTGTGAATAATTCGTTTGATTTGCAGTTGGCATTTCCCTTTCGCTCAAGCTGAGTACATTTTAAAGTTCATTCTTCATTCTCTGAGTCAACAATCTGTGATAGTAAAGCTGGGCATGAAATGCCTTCACGCATGCCCTAAAACCCACAAAAACAAAGTTTATCTAAAAAAAAAAAAAAAAAAATCGTCTTTTTGAGACTACCACGATCATAATCAGATTTATATTGTATTATATGCATATACAATTTTCATGTAATCTATTGTACATGTATTATTTGTTGATATGTAATTTAAAAATGGGAAGATATAAGGCAGGAAAGTTCAGAGATTGTGCCCAATCTTAAGAAAGTCGAAATAACACGAGTAGATTACTTGTATCACATTTTATCGTATAGTTCAAAAGATGCCAAAAAAACGTAAAATACTGTACCACTAAAAATGACCGTCATTTTATTCTTCGACATACTGCAAATAGGAAGATGATGGCGGAATTGAATAAAAAGAAAGCGGTGAATCTGCAGAATGTATACATTAAAGTCATTATCATTAAAAAAAGAAAGTTGTAATTACTTGTATTTGCGAAAGAACACGCTAAATATGTCAGTATAATCTTTCATATGTTTTCTTCAACTTGAGCCAGCAACGGCGTCATATAAAAAATCGTATAACGTTCTCCCAATTCGGCAGACCGCTGCTCAAAATACCGATGAAAATACTCAAGAAAAGACTTAGAAAAGACAATTTCTTTCTACATCTGCTATACGGACACGCTTGCTTTCCAATATAATCATCTTCTTTTTTTCTTAATTTCTATCTCAGAAGCAAAAAGAGTACTCATAGCTGGAAACCGTGTTATGTTTCCCCGAATCGTGACACAGTCAACATGTGCCGGTCTGCTCTATGGGTATACACCCAATGCAATAAGACATCTTCCCCTCGAGTCATGAAATTCATCTTGCCCATCCCGAGGGGGGAGAAGAACGTATTGACACCCCTTTCGTTCCCTATCCCAAATCCTGCAGTATCTTTTAACACTCAGATCTACCACGGAACGCCGATGGTGTAAACAATATCTTGCATATACATTCTGTAACGAAGCTCATGTTTAGGCTGCGGGCCTCGCATTTCATCACATGAGACTTAACGTGGATTAGAAATCTTTTGAAACGTTTGATCTGTGGAGACCTGTCTATTAAACATTTGAAATCAGTCGTTGATAAACCGTCGTGAGGACGAAGCTCAAGCTGATAGATGTATATAAACAAGTTCTCCATACATACTTATCGGCAGCAGATTGTAACGTTTTGTTTAGCCCATAAGAACCCATCACAAGACTGAGCTTCATAAAAAATGAATATTTATATAGGTCTGATAAGGCCAAAAAAAGAGACCTAATATTCATCTTTAACGGTAACATTTAAACACTCAAGTACGAAATGGAAGCACTTGAATTTTGAATTATTATATATTATATAAAATGTTAAATAATTTTTCAAAACGGTCGGGAAAAGAATATTGTATGTTCCATGTTCAAATACTACACCGTGTTTTGTGTGAAAGAGGAATTGGCCATCTTATTATTTCTTCATTTCTTATTACGTCTCGTAAATGCACAGGAGGGGGCAAAATCTTCTGACAGTCTGCTTTTTCCATTTTTTAAAGATTAATATTTGAATTTGATTCGAGAGTAGCTCTCATTAATTATCTCGATGTCGCAACACTTTGGATGAAACTGTCATCAGTGCTTAATTTTTTGGAGAATTTATTTGAATATACTTTACCAACTTGTCTAAATATGACATGCGCGACCGGGAGAGGTGTAATTGGAACTATGGATACGGATCTGCGATTTCCATATTCGATTATTAATATATTGAGGGATTGTGATATTAGAAATATAAACAAAATATAAGATAGTGCGGCGTCAATGTATATCAATTCAATGATCTTGAATTGGGGTTCAAAGAAAGTAAGAATATAAGGTCACTGTTACTTTATTCCTTCGAACAAAGAGAAGTGTGTTCTTGAGTGACAGCACAGTGCACCTATTCTCCATGTGACATTATTGGGCGCCAATTATGTCGTTTAGATTCATGCAGGGGTTTCTTGCGCTCTGTATTAAGTAAAAGCTTTCAGGTGAAATGCCTCTCTATCAACTCTTGTAGACTTGCAACATAGCTTGAGCAAAGCCCCAAAGGTTAAGTATGATATAAGCTCACTAAGGTTGCAATGCAGGTATTCCTGCCTATGGCATGTGTATCATAGAGAGCTGACTCTTCTCAAAACCCATTGTCACGGTTGTAAAGGATAATGCAGATGGGATGTCTTCTCAGACTTTTTGGGAGGCGGCCTAGTTCTTTCTCAGTTCGCTTTCTACACTTTGTATCGAGGAAAGAGGAGGCTTTAATGTGAGGGTATACTGTGCTTTCATACAAAGTGATATAAAATATTAATGATCTGAAGAAAGAATATCAAAATGTTGGTAATGAGGAGAAGCAGGAGCATAGTGAGTCAAGAGAAGCCCCCCCCCCCTGCTCTATAGAAACAGTCTTATCATGTTTTTCAAGTCGAGTATTATTCCCTTCTGTCAGAAAACAATTTCTATCATAAATACCTTTCTTGAGAAGAAAACAAAAAAGCATTTTCTCCTCATATGTCTTTCTATCTCTCCTTTTTTCAGGCTCTCTTTCTCCTTCTCTTACTCTCTCTCTAAAAGATTTAGGTGAGCGCCCCCATTGCCAAAGGCCAATTTTCTACCCCATCATCCTTATCATTCAGTGCACGCCCCTACCCACTAAACTCACATACTTGAGACGCATTAAACGAATTAGCAAATAATTCGATTTTGAGCTGAAGTCGGTTATCCATCGCCTAGCATCCTGGGCGAGCCTGTATATTTGCTAAGACAGGCATGGATTGGTTCATGCCAAAAACCCTTCAAACTTTACCAAAACTAAATCCATCCATTAAGAAAAAACAATCCAAAAATAATGAGATTAACCTTCCTAGCGTGCACTTTTACCTGAGGGTGTATTGAATCGTGTTGATAAATATTTTGGAGCGCTTATATTGTTGAAATATTATCGCACAATAATCTGGCTGCTTATTTTTGTCTCTCTCCCGATTTTAAAAAAAAAATTAAAAAATATTTCACGTATATACATACACATATATACATACACATATACACACACTTTTTTCTTTCATTCTTTCGGTTAGATTTTGTTAAGAACCAGCTCTATGAATGCCTTAGCATGTCTATATTTACAAACCAGACCAAATCCCGATGTACTACATGAAATGTTGCATTAGAATCACCATTTCCAACGCTTTAAATTGTTCATAAATAACAAAAATAATGCATTGTATATTCTGTCTCTTTCGCGATGTCATTTCTTGCTTAAACATATGTCTATCTCAGTATCATAAACTAATATACACGGCACATTTGGATATTCCCTGTAAAATCATCAAAGTATTATGTTTAAAAAAGACATTCATCTTCATGAGATATGAACATACATGATTCCAAATTATTTTGCTTCCCCTGTTAACTTTGACGTTGTATTTGTTATGAAAAATACATTACTGGTGCATTGCTAACTGTTGTTCATTAATATATTGTGTCATCTAGTATGACTATTTACCAATTCGAATGAGTTATCTTTTCCCTGTTATCTTTCAGATCGCATCTTTGGGTGTGAGTTGGTTTAAAGAAAGGACTACTATAGCCGCTTTCACATCTTGACATTTTACTCGTCTATTCGCGGTCTCTTCTTTGAGTTCCTTGGGACTTTGTTCAGCAAGCTGGTAAGTTACATCCTCTTTATTTCACCATAATAGTTTCGGTAACGTGAACTAGTTAGAGAAAGAGAGAGGGACGCTTTTGGAGGACAATAGATCCTCCGTTAACGGGACATATTATGTTCCGCATCAGTGAACACACACTACTTAATGCGCCGCTTTCCAGAGATTCTCTGGCAGTGATTTCACCGATTCTAAATGATGAAGGCGCTCAACTGGAGGTTTATAGATCTACAATTAACTTTGTTTTATTACAATCAGCACAGTAATCACAGATTACCCTAAAAAATTATTGGGTTATCATTCCTATGGGACATCTAAAAATGATTAATTTCAAGAAATTGAAGTCAAATCGGTCATGCTGGACTTCCTAACTAGATGAGAAGCAGATTGCATACAGAAAGGTTTTTACAGATGCGGGACTTAGTGTGCTCAATATAGGATATCCTCTGTCCTCCGAAAATATAACATCTATATATCATTCTCTTTCTCTCTCTCTCTCTCTCTCTCCCTCTCTTCCTCTCTATAATGATAATAATAATGATGGCTTCTTGTATAGCGCACATGTCCGTCGCGTTGTGACGATCCTGGCGCTGCCCCAATTTCTCTTTCGTTATCTCTCCCTTTCTTTATATCTTCTTTTATTTCATTTTCTTCCCGTATATATATATATATATATATATATATATATATATATATATATATATATATATATATGTCTCTATCTCCCCTCTGTTTTGTTTAATCTTTTTCTTTTCATGTGTTCTCTCTTCCTGTCATCTCTCCCTCTCTCTCTCTCTCCCCCCACTTTCTTTATTTGTCTTCCTTTCTGCCCAACCCCTCTCTCTCTCTCACACACACACACACACGCACGCACACACACACACACACACTTTCTCTCTCTCTCTCTCTCTCTTTTCCAGTCTCCGAGTACTCTGGTGTTATCTAGCTGCTAGCATACATACAATGTACAGTTACGTCTCTCAAATTAACCGCATTTGTCAATAACCCTTTAAACACGTGAAAAATAAATTTTCCCGCACCTTACAAGATATTTCCCTTTGAAATATGTCGTTGGATGTCTACTCCACTCGTGGCGTTTAGACCGATTGTGTTTCCCTTTAGGAAGCTATTTTGGTCTCATTTGTTTAATATCCTGTTTGGGTTTTATAAATCACAAATTCTGCGAAAATTCGATCATTGGTTACTTATGTATTCTACATCATGATAACACCGACTCACTTCCACACGATGCCTTCGGTAGAGCAGGCGATCATAATGTAAGTTGAGATGCTTACTGGATTAGCGCATCTGTTGGGGGATTCTGATTTATCTGCTAAATATCTTGTTTCAAATCTGATCTAGCGTAATACATTACAACTTAGCGTGCGGAAGTAAAGCGTATTCGCGCCTAAGGCGTGTTGTATAACTAATTTTAACGAGAGGATTACCAAATGAACGAAACGGATGGATTGCTTGGGGGATTTCCTACTGCAACTCTTTCTGAGTAGTACAGAAAGGCTAATGAGGAATATCTTTACCTCTCACGACAGACAGCCTTACCCGGTAGGGTGTCATTTTCTCACTTCAGCATCTGACAGAGGATGCGGTTTAAAGGGTATTCGCCCCTTGGCGTTTATATGCTAACCCTTTTTGTAATTCATCTTCATTCTGAATTGCAGATTTTTTTTTCTCAGAAAGGTATAAATATATCCTGAATTGTCTGTGATTGATGAAAAGTGATCAGATTTCAGATTAAAACGAGGAAAATGCGACGCTGAATTCTGTTTAAAATGGCGCCAGGAGAGTTATGGAGGATTATGGCGATAAATTATCTTTTCACTGTGCGGAATTCCCGAAAGATTATTAACCATAGAATAGCCGTTCGAGTAAAGAAAATATAACGCTGCTATAAGTGCACTCTAGCTGAATTGTTCTATACCATAATTCATATACTAATTGCATCTGGATAAGAGATATTGGCCATGATATTAACAGCGTTGTGGAAACAATAAGATATGGCGATCTCTCCCGTGCATTGGCGCTCATACAAAAGGCCTGGTAAAGAGTGCACACGCTTGAGTGCTGAATAAAATATGGTGTACTATGAAACTTTAAATCTAATCATCTAATATTTCATAATGCCTGATTTCCCCTGCGACCTGTGACTCTTAGAACAGACGTTGTTGGCGCAGGAATAGTCATCTAGCCGTCCTTATCACTTTGCTCGTTTGTTTAATGGTTATAGTTATAATCCGTACACTCAGAGTTTGTCATGAATCTTACATAAAGGTCACAGGTGGGTTAGATATTAAACACGGAATAGGATTAGGTTGGTAGGAAGGATTATACAATGTACCCCTATAAAACGAGCAGGGGCGTAGCACAAGGTCATGAGGCTGAGAAGGGCAGTAGTCTAGGGAATAGAAGGGAATTAAAAACTAGCTGAATGGGGGTGCAGTGTATTCCCATAGACACAATAGAGCAAATTATTATTGAGTCATCTTCTTTCTACTTTTTTAAAACTCTCTCTCTCTCTCCTTCTCTTTAATTCTCTCTCCATCTCATTACTATTTTGATTCGATAGGGAAGAACCCAAGTAAAATTGCTTTCGTTTGCATTCTCTAACTTTATCACATTCACAAGGCATTTGAATTATGAAGCAATAAAAAGTGGGAGCTATCAAGTTCAATTTCAAACGATTTTTTTCTTTCAATCGTTGTCGTATCTTAAACCTTTAAGTTTTGTTCTAGCGTAAAAATGTGCTCGATACACGTCAAATGAAATAAAGCATGCATTAACGCAGAATGATATAACTAAAAATGTATCCTTGACCTATACAGTGACTGGAAGGAAAACATTTTCATAAGGCTCTCGATTTATGAAGCTATATAAAGTAACGGATTTCATAAAGTTGAAGGGCGACTTTTTCATCGTATCTTTTAGATTGTACTTGTACATTTTTTTAAAATTGATAATGTAAGATTCTGCCTGAGACGCGTCGAATCAAATAAAACGTGCTTCATGGCAATATATCACAAGGGGCATCGTGTTTATCTCCTAAAAGATGGAAGGAGTGAAATTTCACAAAGAGATTAAGTTATAAATAAGAGTTTTTAAGTTCAAGATCAAATGCAATATTGTCAGTTGAATGATTATGATATCATATACACTCATTTTGGTATTGTATTCTACTTTGAGAGTCTGTCTGAGACACAAATCTAATGAAAACGTGCCTCGACTCAAAAGAGTTTGACTGAAATATATCTATGACATATACGTCCGTAGTGAAATGGAGTACAGACATTCAATAAACACAGGAATTCTGATACAGTAATAGATAGCAGAGCCTTCATGTTCACATCGAATGTTGGCCTTTCAGATATTTCCCTTTTTGTTGATTTTTCGCTTAATAAGGCGCAAGATTCTGTTTGATAAACGTTGGTTGAATTAAACGTGCATAGATCTGCGACCAGCAAATATAAACCTCAAAGTTGTCAAGGTTTCGTCTTATCTTTCATGTTAGTGGAGTATTAAAATAAAATTATTTTACTCCACAGGGAGATTAGAGGATACATAAACTCTTTAAGGTTTCGGAATGAAACAAAATATTTTCTTATATTAATTCATTCTCTCTTGAATAGCCAGTTTTGTTATTGACAGCTTTCGTAATACGATGAGAATCAACAACTTCGAAGTAATATGAAATATAACTTTCCTCGCTATATTTATATCTCTTGAAAGTTTGTTTGTATATGTTTTTATATTCTATTTAGTTCTAATATGTCACTTAAATAGAAACGAACGTGCGTCAACGCACACTCAGGAAATATAATCCTCATTACTGTCATTCCGTCCTCCCAACATTGTTGATGAAGAAGAGATTGTCACGAAACAATCGTTTATAAAGCAATTGAAACGTTTTTTTTATGGGAGTCATCAAGTTCGAATCATATAAAGCTAGGGCGGACTGATCTTTTATTTGTAAAGTGGTATTGTGACTGTATACCATGCAGGATCCTCACGATAACACATCAACGTCACCTTGGTCGGGCAGAATACTGACACGATTTCTCGTGTTAAATTGCATGTATACTCGATAAATACGTGATGTATTAGGAGTGAAGTGAAGTGAATGAAATGTGTTGTGAGAAAAACATCATGTACTTGAAATACTTGAGATGGGAGAGGGAGGGAGTGGGAGAAAGAGAGGGGGGAAGGAAAGCATAATATTTGTATCGCCGTTCACTTTATTTACGACATCGTATTGAGTTGTATTAAGTATTAATCGAGAATCGCGCCTGCCTGGTTGATATTAACTCCATATTATTATCTCTGGTGAGGATTTTATTGATTTGATCATGAGCCCATTAGTCAAAGTTGGATTCATTATTCGACATGATGAATCGGCCTTCAAAAATGATTTCGATATGAACGGAGTTGTTTCGTGTTTGATCCAGAGTCAATTATTGTTTAATTAAGTATAGGGTACAATAGGCTTTTCTGTAAAATCATGGGCAGTACCCAGGCGCGGATCCAGGATTTCTTAGGGGAGGGGGCCCAACTTTTTTTTTTTTTGCTCCCGAAAATTTGAAAATCGCGCCGGCCGAAAAGTCGCTCAGTGGGGGGGGGGGGGGGGGGGGGTACAGAGCACAATTTTTTTTTTTTTTTTTTTTTTTTTTTGTTGCTCCCGAAAATTTGAAAAACGCGCCGGCCGAAAAGTCGCTCAGTGGGGGGGGGGGGGGGGGGGGGGGGGGGGGGGGGGGGGGGGGGGGTAGTGAGCACATTTTTTTTTTTTTTGATCCTCAAAAAAATTTCAATTTGCACCCCCCCCTTGAGCGCCAGGGGGGGGGGCCCAACCCCCCAAAAAGGTAAAAATCACGTGATTTTACATGATTTTTTTCTCAAGGGGGGGGGGCCCGGGCCCCCCGGGCCCCCCCCCCTGGATCCGCCACTGGCAGTACCTCTTTTGTAGGAGATGGCAAATTGCTTATGCACATAGGCGT